CCAGTTGATTGTTGGAACTCCTTGCTGATCGAAGCTGCTAAATTACAAAAAGAAAGAAAAAGAAAATAGGGAGCGTGACAGGACGCCCCCGACTTCGATCCCTGCTGGTCGCTGAGGACCTCGGAAGCGGGCGCGGCGAGTGACAGGCGTCGTAGCCCTTGGCTTCAGCGAACGGTAGATGCCCCTCCCCGGGTTTCCTCACAACTTTGGCGCCGTAGCCTATGGTTTCAGCGAACAGTAGGCGGCCCCTCCCTGGGTTTCCTCACCGGGGTTTGTCACAAGGCAGCCATAGAGGTCCAAGGGGTACGAGTGACCCTGCCTGTCTTTGCAGTCAAGAACTGCAGTTCCGATCTGCTCTTGGGATGAACGTGGTTAAGCCACGTGCATGCAGTGACGATAGAGCGACCGGACGGGAGCCAGACATTGTCAATTAAGAAGCTAGACGGAACGTGGGTAATGATCCAGACAGTGGAGCCTCGGGACCCGAGGAACAGAGCAGCTCTCGCTGTGGGTGCGAGACCCAGTGATCAGGTTAGGTCTTTACCTATCTCCAGCCGCGCGGTGCGATTTCGCGAGAAGAAGTATGGACCACTGCTCACGGAGGAAGAAGGTCGGATCGTGGAGGTGGAAGATTTAGGGAGTCGGCTGATAGTGGACGGCAACTCGTACCCAAAGGAAAAAGATGAGGAATTTGGCGGTGTAGTATCCGTGTCTTTTTTAAGGGCACGGCCCCCTATGGGGGGCTACCCAAGTGACACAAGCGAGTAACTCAAAAAGTTAAGCCAGCGGCGGTGGGCCGCGAGCGATCTGCACTGGAAGGGATATCGGAAGAAGAGATCGCAAAAGAAATCAAAGAAAGAAAGAAAAAGGAGCCACAACGCCTAACGGAATGAGGATAGCAGGGATGGACATCGGAGATGGAAATTTGACCCCACAGGAGCGAGAACGTGTGATAGAAATCCTGAAGACATGTGATAAGGCCATAGCTTTCAGTGACGCGGAGCGCGGTAGGGTTGACCCTCGATACGCTAAGCCAGCAAGGATTTACACGATACCACATGTTCCCTGGAATGACGCAGGATGGAAATACGCCCAGAAGGAGAAGGAAGAAGTTATAGCTTTTGTGAAAGAAAAGATGGTTTCCCATGTTGCGGAGCCGTCTGATAGCGCTTATGCTAATCGATGGTTCTTCCTACGAAAGCCGAATGGCAAGATCCGATGGATCCAGGACCTTCAGAAGGTCAACGTGGTGACGATACGAGACGTGGGCTCCGTGCCACACTCCGATTTACTGGCAGAAGGCGCTGCAGGTAGGTCGATTTATTCGGTCTGTAATCTGTTCTTACGCTATGATGAGGTACCGCTTGATCCTAGGGACAGGCACCTCACGACTATGCATATGCCATTGGGACTAATACAGATGATGGTTGTCCCTATGGGTTGGACTAATGGGGTAGCCGTTTTTCAGAGAGCCATGGTAGCCGTTCTCAAGGACTTCATCTCTGATAAGGTTGAAGTTTTTCTGGATGACTTTCCTATAAAAGGGTCAGTAAACAAGGATGAGACAGAGGTTGCACCAGGAGTTAGAAGATTCGTCAAGCAGCACCTAACGGATATTTGCGAGGTACTCGAGCAGCTGGACGATGCGAATTTAACGGTCAGCGGAACAAAGAGCCGATGGACCGTCTCGACTATTAAGATCTTGGGCTTTATCTGTGACTCGAGAGGACGCCGAGCAGATATGGCGAAGTTAGACAAACTCCTGAATTGGCCGCCACCGTTACATAGTCCAACCGAGGTCCGACAGTTTCTGGGAGTGGTATATTACTGGCGTATATTCATACGGGGGTATGCGGAGAAGGCTGAGCCATTGAGGTTACTCCTTCGAAAGACTGGAAAATTCTACTGGAATTCCTCGCAGGAACTCGCTATGCAAGAGCTTAAAGACGAATTTAAGGAGGGAGGACGCGTACTGGGCGTGCCATTCTTTGACGATGAGACCGAGAGACCCTTCATAGTATCCACGGATGCTGGACCGTGTTCGGTAGGTGGATTGCTGTCTCAGAAGGACGCTGGAGGGAAAGAGAGATCGTTAAGATTTGAGAGTAGAACACTTAATACGGCTGAGCGTAACTACAGTCAATTCAAGAAGGAAGTGTTAGCTGTTCTGCGGTGTCTAGACACGTTCAGACACCATATCTATGGCCGTCGGTTCATCCTGAGAGTAGATCCCACCGCGGTTGCCTCTGTTCTCCAGAAGGACTATAGCCTGACAGACCCAACCATTGCATGATGGTTAATACGGATTCGGCTATATGATTATACAGTAGAGAGGATATCTGGCACTAAAAATGCCGTAGCGGATGGACTCTCCCGGATCCCTCTTGAGGGCGAGCGCCCGATAGTAGCTGGAGCCCTGACAATGGCAGAGTCGAGACGCGCCGAGCGATTTCTGGTTAACCTTTACGAGGGCATGTACCGAACGATCGGGCTGCACCTGACGGGAGAGGAGAGTCAAGATTCAGATATCCGGAGACAAGCAGCCCAGTACTGCCTTAGAGCGGGCCACCTTTTCCGAAGGCCAGTAGGGTCGGGGATGCCCTTACGAGTAGTCTGTGATCCCGAGGAGAGACAGATGATAGTAGCGGAGCTTCACGACAGGGTGGTCGGAGAACATAGAGGAGTAAGAGGGACCTACGAAAAGGTACGCAGGCTGTACTGGTGGGAAGGACAGTATAGGGACGTCGAGAGGTACTGTATGACCTGCGAGGAGTGCCAGAAGAGAGCTCTTGTGAAATACAAGGAGCCACTTAATCCATCCTATCCAACCAGACCAGGAGAAAAGGTACACATCGATTTGGTGAAGATGCCGAAAGGGGTAGGCAATATGAGCTATGTCATGAACATACGAGACGACTTCACGGGGTTCGTGGACGGTAGACCTATCAGGTGTAAGACGGCAAAGGAAGTGAAGAACTTCGTCCTAGAGTACTTATCTAGGTATGGTTGTGTCGGCAAGATGGTGATGGACAAAGGGGCAAAATTCCTAGCTGACGAGGTTCAGAGTGTGTTCAAGAGAGCTGGGGCGAGAGTTTCGATAGCCACTGCCTACCACCCACAGTCGAACTCCCCAGTAGAGAGGGGGCACCAAACTCTGATAGCGACACTATCCAAGTGGTGCAAAGGTAAGGACAGTGATTGGCCACGATATTTTCGGTACGCAATATGGGCGGACAACGTCATGGTCCGGGCTAACACTGGATACCCACCATACACCTTGTGGTTTGGGCGGCATTGTCCGCTCCCCATAGAGTTTCACGTCGACAGTTCGACAAACGTCGACTGGGCGGAGGAGATGTCCAGAGAGGAACTCATAGCTGCCCGAACAAGACAGATAGACTACGGTTTGGAAGATAACCTTATGACAGCGGTATATCGTCTGGTAGTGGAAAGAGACAAAGGTAAAGAGAGATGGGATAAGAACGTGCGAATCAGGAAAGAGAGGGTGAGCGTAGGAGATATAGTCCTTCCCTACGACGCAGCACTGGAGAGGACCTGGACCGAAAAACTCGCCAACAGGATGAAACCTTACAGAGTGGTTGAGGCCCCCGACTGGGGTGCATATATGATAGCAGAATTAGACGGATCCAAGTGGAAGGACCCAGTGGCGGGTGCTAGGTTAAAGCTGTTTAGACCCAGGCCCACACCCACCTTATTGCTGACAAGCCCGAAAGAGAAAGGAAAAGCCAGAATGGAGGATGGAGCTCCCTTGAGGCGATTCGAGGTAGGGGAGAGTTCCAAGAAGAGGAAAAGAATAGAGAAAAGAAAGGTCAAAGGGTTAGCTTTAAGAAGAGAGAAGAGATGATTATTCGTGCTTAAAAAGGCTAGACGGAGAGTTCGCGTTAGACGTACTGGCGGTCGACACCCTTCTCAGGGCAAAGACAAGAAAAAAAGGATCGTGCCGAGGCAAAAAACCAGAAGAAACAAGAAAGTCAAGAAGCATCTTCTTAGCCCCAGGACTCATAACAAACTGAAACATAAGACAATTGAACGCCGACGTGGGCGTCCTTTACGGGCCATCACCCTGAAGCTCGTCCGCTTCGTCTGACGTAAGTGGATAGGGCTCGACGGGGGCGTCGAGAAGTGGTCCGGGCTAACTGTCAGGCGGCCACAAGCAGTGCGCTGCCTGAAATCTGCGGGTTTGGGGCCTAGGCTCAAAGGCAAGTCCGTGTTTTGACGGTACTCTGGTTCGACCGGGCAGCAAAAATTAGAGGAACTTTGGGCACCCCTGATTTTGGGCGCGCTGAACCTTACGAGTAACCCTCAAAGATGGGGAAATGGGTAGCCGCTCCCGGCACAACTAGAGGCCGTCTTTTCAGCCCGTTCCGAGGCTAGGCCTGGAATGGCCTGCCGTAAGGGGGCATCGCGGGGACTAACCCCGCAACGACGTTCTTTGCAGCGTATGATCTTGGCCAAAATAGCGCCTCGAATTTTTGTCATTTTTGGTATCTAAATTAAAGATGGGAGAAAAGATTGAGAACAGTAGGAGGGAAGAGAAAAACGTAATATTCCTTAATTTCCTTGTTTTTCGTGGCATTTGAGTTTTGGGGAAAATACCCCGTTATTTTATGTTTTCCGGCAATGGAATCGAAAACAAAGGAAAAGATTAAAAATGATAAAGGAGAAAAGGAACAAAGAATTTCAACAATTTAATTAAGACTCTCTCGGAATTTATTTTTGGTAAGTTTTGCGGTTATTTTACTGTTTCGGGTAATAGAGTTAAGAAAAGGGGGGGGTGATTAAAAATGATGGAACGAACAAGAACCGATGATTATTCGATGCTTGGCCTGATTTTGCTTGGATTTTCCACCGTCGGCTCAGAACCCAGATTAATCAGTCTTCTCTGGATCCCAACCTTTTTTTGCCAATCCCTGATGATCAAGGCTTTTCGTGCCACTTTCCCGACCCACCTATTTACTAACTTCACTGTGACAGTCCGAGGACGACCGCATGGACAGCGAGGGAGGCTGCTACTTTGGACCGACAGTATGGCCTCTGTATTTGGCTCGCTACGGACGCATGGTTTAGAGAGGTTCGGTTTTGATGCGGAGCGGCTGCATCCTACGGTATCCGACGTTTTTTTTTTTTGTAGCTCGGTATGGGGTCGGAGTCAGTTTGTTTCAGGGTTCAGGCCATTACGGTGACTTATTTTCAGGTCTGCGGCCACTGTAGCGATTTATTTCTGGGTCCGGAACCGCTTCGACAGTTATTTCGGGTTCGACATCAGTCTATTTCGGGCTCGGTGCTACCGTGATACCTTGTTTCAGCTTCGGCGCCATTACCGTGACTTATTTTCAGGTTTGGGACACTGCGGCGATTTATTACCTGGTCCGCGACCACTACAGCAGTTTATGTCTGGATCGGAACTGTCACGCCGATTTATTTTCAGAGTAGACACCGTCACGATACCGTCACGGTGGAATGTGTCAGGTTCGGCGGCCTCGGGGCAGTTTAATTCGGTGATTTACTTCAGGTTCGGTACCAAGATCGGTATCGTCACAACGATTTATTTCGGGATTCGATATCATCGTATTTCCGGTTCGGTATCCTCAAGTCGTTTTTTTTTCAGGTTCGGGAGAGAATCGGCGACATCACAGTGATTTAATTTCGACGCCATCTCGGGTGTCTATGTCCAGTCCGGTACCGTCATGACGGTTTGTTTTAGCCTCAGGACCACCACGGCGGTCTATTTCAGGTTCGGGGTCATCACCGTGATTTGTTTTTCGGATCCGGTACCACTGCGGCAGCTCGGTTCAACTTCGGAACTCAGTTCAGCTTTGGAACCGTTGTGGCAAACTTATTTCTGGTTCGACATAGATGGCATTTCCGGGCAGTTGCTTCACGCTTGTTTTTCGTTCGACCTTGGCATGGTACACTCAACTACAGCCCTGGGCGAGTACGTCAGGACCGCTGTAGACTCAACGCAGGTGTGGGACCATACGGCACCTCGATGCTGGTGCGGCAGCCTACGGCGCTGATATGGGGCCACAATACCGTACCTCCAAAAAAAATTCAAGGCTGATACGGTGATGCTGATCTAGTACCACTGGCTGTCGAGCTCATTCGGGTTCCGAGTGGGAGCCTTGACACTGTGGGCGTCAAATTTCACAGTACCGGTACCCTTGGTGTTTTCGAGGTACTGTCGGGCTCGTATGATTTTGGCCATGCRCCCGTAACTTCGGGGAGGCCCATGCCTACAGGGGAGTCGCATATAGGAGGAACTTGGACGACAGTGCAGGGGGGATGTGCACGGTGTGCCCARCGCGGTATGCAGGCGGGGAYAGTTGACGGAMAKAGGATTCGGGAAGCATGTAAGGTGTACGCAGTGCACCRCAGAGTCACACAGGCAGTCAGGGAGTGCGAGACGAGCTCGAGGCGGAGACATCGGCGCCCAGGCGGTTACGTAKGGAGAGAAGGGAGAGTCGGGCGTGAACAAGGCGTACCCGCGAGCGCGTGCACGACCCTGCGCATGCAATGGGAGGAGGCAGTTGGCAAGCGAACGAATGCAGAGTGTGCCAGGCGTAGGCAGCGTGGGTATGAGAGTGTGGGGAAAACCCTGTAGGAACGGGGGAAAGCACGGGAAAGRAGACTGAGTGCAGGCCRGGCATTCGCTGTCTACTCGCCACAGAGCAAGAGGAGGGAACATCGCGAAGGGGATGAGGGGGATGCGCGCTCGATGTACGCARCTCTCTACCGGTTAGGCACARCGATKCGCAGTGAATGAGACTAGCCAAGGACTCGCTKGGAGTRGGCGCGCACGYTGTGCTCTCCCCTGTCGGAGCGTTGCATCCATGCCTTTCCGCGAGGCGGAAAGAAGAGTGGGTTGTGCACGGTTCATCACTGCGTCAGAGCGAATACGAGCAAGACCATGCACGGGAGAAGGGAAGCAAGGGGAACAAGCCTCGAAGTGCGGAGGTGAAGGAACGGAACGAGACTCTATACCGGGTAACGAGTGTGAACAGGGAACCGTGGCGTGATYAGGGGAATCGGCGGTGAACATACYGAAYAGTCAATTTGGAGTGAGTACGCAACAGTCGAGGTGGTTAGAGAGGGATATGGACTAAGTGACGCGGGTCAAAGCYAGGGCTMTATGCAAGACAAAACGCAGTGTCGTAAACCCCCAGGGAAGAAGTGTGACGAGTAACGRTGAAGGTAAGGTTTRATTTTAAACGCACGACTAAGGGTGAAKGATTCGCTCCGGGCGAACGAGGCRTGGCTTGCCTCRCGTTCCAGACGGGAGATTGCRCGTTGACGATGAGGGRTGGGATC